TGCCAGGGAGAGCAGGCACATATGCCAGAACACCTAGACACTAAGAACCTTCTTTGCACCTCTTCTTGTTATCATTAATTCATGGAGGCTGGAACATAGTGACTCAGACCCCATTGTGGCACTAAAAATAGAAAAGCCAATACAGATTTTCTCTACCCTAAGATGACTCACAATATTGTACTGTTTAAAAAAAATGGCATAATGTTCTTGCAAGACCAAGTTGGGATAAGCAGATTATTTAATATAATTTAATTTATCAAAAATGTTAATGTATACACTTTTAAGAAGGTGATTAACTACAGTGCAACCTAGACACTAACTTACCTTAATGGAGGATAAAGTCACTTCTTGTAAAATAAGAAAATAGTGGATTTAGTGAGGAAAAAATGTTCTGTTAATTTATCCAGTAAAAGTATAGGTTATTCAAAATTATCCTAAAGTATGCCAAACACATAGAGCTATTTAAAACAAAAACAGCATTTTCATTGGTTTGAGGGCCAGGCCAGAAACTTATCTTCATTCTTTTCAGACTCTGGGTTGTAGCTTTATATCTAAATGCCAGGTATGTCTACATGTAGCTTCGCATGTTTCTTTACTGTGACACCTTTGGAGGAATGTCTGGACACTGGCCTGTGACTGCCTCTGCAGTCCGGATAGGTGAGACTAACAGGGATGTGATAATCATCGTTTCCTTGGAAACTGCAGTGTAGTTAAAATTGGCAAGCCCTCCTCCATGCGGTGTTTTTGTTTACTATTCTAATAGAGGGATGGTCCAAAACACTCTAGTCGCTCTGTCACAATAGCCAGGGTGACAATCCCACCATTATCTAGCATATCTACTCCAGTTCAACATGGAGGAGATTGGAAAGTAACCGTATGAGGGAATCTGGAAACTTTGGGGTTCACTGTAGGATGTACTTGGGTTAAAATGTCACTTTGTCACTCACTGTGTGGCCTGTTTGATCTCCCTGGTGGGTTTTCTGGTTCTTTGGGGATAATCCTCAACCATAGGTGATCTGAGTTTCCTAACACTGCCAGGATAGGTTGGCATGTTAATTGTAACAGTAGAAATAGATTCTCTCATAGTTCTGGGTCTCAGAAGGGCAAAATTAAAGTATTGGCAGCATTGTTCTTCCTCCAAAGTCTCTGGAAAAGAGTCATTCTTGACACCTTCTAGTCGCTGGGATTCCAGTATGGGTTGTATGGTGCCAATCTTCACAAGGTCGCTTTCCCTGTACATCTGTTGTTTGTAAAGACATTTCTCCTGGATCTGAGTTCCATCTTAAGCCAGCATGGCCTTTCTCAACTCCTATATCTGCAAAGATCCTACTTCAAATAGGTCACATTCTGAGGTTTCCGGTGAACATGATTTTGGGAACACATATTCAATATACAACAGAGCCTTGGTCTCCTAATTCCACAAAAGGTTTGTTTTCCCATTTTTCTTAATGTTATAGACAACCTAGAAAATGATGCAGATCTTCTGTGGAAGGCTTGTAGAGAAACTATGAATTATCTTTTTGTTGCAGTATTGTAGTCTTCTTCAAAATGTCCAATCTCACCTTCACTTAAGGGACTATGGGGTTATAAATGGGCTTAGGTATGGCAACTGACTGAGGGAGCATATAGAATCAGTTCTAGGAAACCAAACACTAAAGTAATGCAGCACATTCATGAAAGACCTGGAAAATGAGTTTTTACAAAAATCTAATGGCTTACAGAATTTTCCAGTATATTTAACAATGGTCCTGTTAACTGTCCATGTTGGTATGAGTATGTATGTATGTATGCATGTATGCATGTATGTATGTATGTATGTGTGTATAATCACTTTAAAAAAGTGTAATAGTTAAAAAACACAATAACAAAGAAAATAAAGAATTGAAACAGATGAATCAAAAAGGCCTCAGCATTTGTCTACCAGGCTTTCTCATATTTTACTACCCTGAGCTCCTAATTGCATTTTCCTTTATCCTGTTGGAAATCTGGATTAAGGGATATACCAGCTGGGTAGATGCCCAGAGCATCAATTAATAAGTAGGCAGTAAGACATCAATAGAATACATTGCTTATATGGTATCAATTAATGCAGGTCTTCACGAGAGAATGTTTTATACAACCGGCTAAAAGGTAATGCATTTGTACTCTCATCAAACAAGATAGCATCCTCAAATGGGAACTTAAAAAATATTTTCTCGCACTAAATAAATATTGGATAAATATTTAAAAAGCATTGATTTGAAGAGCAGCTACGTTACTAGGTTTCCGGGCCGGTCTGGACCTAGCCCTGCCTACCTGTCCTTGTTCACATCCTGCTTCTCAACTGGTTTTCTCCCTGTCTCAGATGTTCTCAAACTTGCTCTGAGTAAGCAGCCTCCTTTACTGTTGCTGCAGTTAATACTCATGGGACAGTTCAAGGAACAGACCAGAGATGATGGGATTGGCTGAGATGAGTTCACTGGTATATCCCTTTTTCCTCTTTTAGAGGGCAACAAAGCAAGTGTTTAATTGTCTTATATTATCTCATGGGACTCAGATGGCACACATACTAAAAAGCCATTAGGTAGGATTTCACATTTTTTCAGGGGCTCCCTGGGGCTTTCGATGATGTCTTAAAGCACGCCGACTTCCATTCTACTTGGGGTTTTTGTTTTATTCTGAGCTAAGGGCCAAACCCAGAGCCTTGTACTTGCTAGGCAAGTGCTCTACCATTGAACTAAATCTCCAGCCCCAACTTCCATTTTTACTGACCTATCTGAATACAGAAGGAAAGAAATCTTCCCGATTCCTGTTTCATGACCAATTGATCATGGACCTCAATGGATTGTCAAAGCTGAATGTTTAGGTCCAGTCTAAAGCCCTGTGAACAAGATCAAGAAGGGCAGACAGTGAGGGAGTGTGGTGATGTTTTGTTTATGATCTAACAAATAAAGATTACCCGAAGATCAGAGAAGCAAAACATCCAGCCACTAGCTCTTAGCTCTACCTCAGACCAAAGGGGAATCCTGTCCTCAGATTGCCGCCTCAGACTAGACCCTCAGACTGCTTCAGACTGACGGCTGCTCAGACTGACTGCCTAGACTGCATCTGTCTCTACAAATCCTAAAACTGCATCTCTCTCTTGTCTCCTCTGTCTTACATTCCTCTCTCTGCCCAGCCATATCACTCCTGTCTCCACCTCCCTAGTGCTGAGATTAAAAGCATGTGGTCCCAAGTGCTGCAATCACCTTTGTGTGAGCTCTGTTTCTCATTTAGACAGATTCAAACTCTTAGCCCAGGGTGACCTTCAACTAACAGAGATCTGTCTGCCTCTGTCTCCCAAGTACTGGTATTGAAAATGTGTATCTCCACTGCCTGGCCGCTATGGCTAACTAGTGTGGCTAGCTCTGCACTCTGATCTTCAGGCGAGCTTTACTTGTTAGATCATAAACAAAATGTCACCAGAAGGGAGCATATGACTAAGGCAGGGGTAAAGTCAGAGAAACAGAAAGGAGATGTTTCCTTGAGCCACTCTCAGATACACTGAGTAGCATAGAAGGCAGTGCCCTGACTGTGTTAAGATGTAGGAGCAGGGCCAAGGAGAAGGCTCAGTCAGTAAAGTGTTTGAGGAACATGTATGAGGACTTGAGTTTGAGCCCCGGAAACCATGTGAAATGGCCAGGCATCACGTTGAGACAGAGATAGGGAGATCCCTGGGGCTCCCTGTTTAGCCTAGTTCATGAACTCCAGGACCCAGAGAAAATTTGTCTCAGAAAATGAGGTGGGTGACTTCTGCAGTACAGCACCTCTGGCCTCCACACATAGTCACACATGCACATGTACCTGAACACATATGTGTAGTCACGCAGGTACAAACATGAATACACACATACAAAAATATATGTAGAGTAATGGCTTATGAAAAGTAAATGATGGATGCAGTGGTCTCTTGCTGGCATTAATAACATGCATCATCAGAGAGAGGTCCCGATGTCCCTGAACTCCACGTGTATGCCATGGCACGTACGTGTGTGTGTGTGTGTGTGTGTGTGTGTGTGTGTGTGTGTGTACTTACACAGGTGCAAAATAAATAAGTGTCATTAAAACATTTTTAAGTAAAAACAAAAAGCAAATTTGAAGCCAGGAGTAATGGTGCTGGCCCGTCATCACAGAACTCAGGAGGTAGAAGCTGTAGGATTGAAAGCTCAGGATTGCTATGTAGTATCTGTCAGGTCTGGCGGTGGTGGCGCACGCCTTAATCCCAGCACTCGGGAGGCACTCTCTGTGAGTTCCGACCAGCCTGGTCTCCAAGAGCTAGTTCCAGGACAGCCTCCAAAGCCACAGAGTAACCCTGTCTTGAAAAAAAAAAAAAAAAGCAGATTTGAAATTAACTACAGAGTTTGAATTTCATTAATTCTCATTTTAACTAAGATTTTGGGGCCTTTACAAGTTGTGCTTAAAATTTTTAAAAAGTGAGACAGAACAAATTGTAAGGTCTAATATTGTTATAAATGAAAATTCTCATCATACATGAAACATATTACTGATTTTGAATATCTATAAAAGTAAAATATATTTTTCTATAACCTGTGCTGGTTATTTTTTGGTTTGTTTGTTTTTGTTCTTCGATGTCAGGGTTTCTCTGTGTAACAGCTCTGGCTGTCCTCGAACTGTGTAGACCAGGCTGGCTTTGAACTCACAGAGATCTGCCTGCCTTTGCCTCCAGAGCACTGGAGTTAAGGGCATGCGCTACCACCACCTGGCTGTGCTGGCTAGTTTTGTGTCAATTTGTCATAGGGTTATCTGAAAGGAGGGAAACTCAATTGAGAAAATGTCTTTATAAGATCCATCTGTAGGTCATTTTCTCAGTTAGTGATCAATGGGGGAGGGCCCAGCCCATTGTGGGTGGGGCCACCCTTGGCTGGCAGCCAGAAGAAGCAAGCCAGGCTGAGCAAGCCAGGGGAAGAAGCCAGTAAGCAGCTCTCTGCCATGGCCACTGCCTCAGCTCCTGCCTCCAGGTTTCAGCCCTGCTTGAGCTCCTGTCCTGACTTCCTCCAATGATGAACAGTGATGTAGAAGGTAATCAAATAAACCCTTTCCTCCCCAAGCTGCTCTTTGGGAAGGGTGTTTTCATCACAGCATCGATAACTCTAACTAGGACAAAACCTAAAATGAATTGAGAGAGCAAAAAGTAGTACATTTGTGCTATGATTTAGTAGTTGCCTCAATTGGACCCTTTATAGACATCTCAGTTTTACTAATATTTACTTATTAGTTAATAGAAATTATGTACTTAAGCTGTTATCATATCAGACTGTAGCTAAAGGATCAAAGTTCAAACTACAAGGTAGATATGAACACCATTGAGTAAATAATGTGCCTTTTTCTTTTTAGGGCTATGTTTATTTTAGGGCATTCATTCATTTTGAGTCAGCCTATGTTGCCCAGTCTGGTCTTGAATTCCAATGTTCAAGAGATCCTCCTACCTCAGCTGCCGAGTAGCTGGAACTACAGAGGGCACCACACCCAGGCTAGTTTTTACTGACATGATTATGCAGCTCTTTTGTGTGTGTGTTGATTTGTTTCAGCTCTGCCTTCAGAGACAGAGTTTCCCCAGGGCTGAGAGACAGGCACACACCATGACGCCTGGCTTATGTGCAAGGGGTATAAGAAGGGAGAAAGTCCACCTTCTGCACTTCTGTTGCAACTATTATTGCCATTTGTATGGGTGTGGCACTGGAGTTTGAACACGAGGCCTTACATGTGCTTAGCAAGTAATGGGTTAAGTCCCAGCCGCTGTCTGTTTTTCAGTTCACATGTATTACCAAAACATATAAAATATGAAGGAAAGGAATGTTTAACATGATCTGTTCTGAACTTAAACATAGTTGGAATATCAAATAAACTGCTAAAGGTAAATTCAATGATAGATACTGGAAATTTGTTAATTATCCTCTCAATATATTTTTCTATAATAAAATGTTTAAGAGAATAATTATGAATGTCTGAGATGATAGATATGCCAGTTACCCTAATCTGATCTTTACACACACATATAACACTATAAATATATAATATATATACATATATACACACACACCTGCACATATAACGTACTGAACTGACACGCTGTACACCATATTATGTACAATTACTATATGTCCATTGAAATCCATTTTAAAATTTTAAATTACATTTTATTTATTGGCCTCATGTGCATGTGTGTGTGCACACAAACACACGTCACAATCCAGGTATGAAGGTCAAAGGTCAGCTTGAAGGGCTCAAGGCTCTCCTTTGGCCACACGGGTCCTGAGAATTGGGCCTGGGCTGTCAGACTTTTGCCCACTGAGCCATCTTACAAGATGTCAATGCAAGGCACAAAGTGCTTGTGTCTAAGGGATTAGAGTCAGACTGGAAAGGTGGCCGTCCCTGGGGTGACACGGTGCACAGAGACTGGACCTGCGCACATTGAAACAATTGTCACTAATGGACCTGCTTAAGGATAGGACTGTGAAGGTCACTGTCTTTCAGGGCTCAGGGATGGAAGAGACTTAATTGTCCAGATGAATTTTAAAATGGCAAAAGTAGTTTCCAGATCTTTATTACTATTGTGCATACCCTTGGGGACCCTAGGATAAAAGAATCTAAAATAGACCTCATACTAGCCAAGAAATTAATTAGAGTGAAGGGAATTATAATAATTGAGACCTACCAATAGCAGCAGGAGCTCAAGCATTCAGTGGTGGAGGAGCTTCCCCTGAGCCTGCTTCACTTAATAAGAACTTTTATTTTTAATTTTGTTCAATTCTTTTTAAAACAAAGTCGTACTCTGTCGCCCATATTGGCCTGGAACCCACTGTAAATCCCAGGATAGCCTGAGACTTACCATTAGCTCAGGTTAACCTCAAACTCAAAGTACTAAGGGCCCGGATTATAGCTGCGAGCCACTACACCCAGCAGTAAGATCCTTTATGATCACCGGGTGGTGGTGACGCATGCCTTTAATCCCAGCACTGGTGAGGCAGAGGCAGGCGGATCTCTGTGAGTTCGAGACCAGCCTGGTCTACAGAGCGAGTTCCAGAACAACCTCCAAAGCAATACAGAGAAACCCTGTCTCGAAAAAAAAACAAAAACAAAAAACCAAGCAAAAAGGATCCTTTATGGTCACAGGAATGATCAGATCCCAGTCATAGCAGAATTGCTAGATCCTCCAAGTTGAAGAACAAAGGGCCAAGGGAGTAAGGTTCACTGTGAAAGCGACCCATGTGACAGTGAGGAGTCCAGCTTCGTTGCTTCTCCCTAGAGAAGCCAGGCCGTGTGGAGTAACTGTCAAGAACCTGCATTTGCAGGATTCAGTTGCTAAGTTCAGAGTCTCCCAGTGACAGCTATGGAAATGCAGTTATTCTGTTTGTAAGAAAATAAGCTATTTATAAACCCCAATGTAGCAGGTTTCTGAGCTGCTTCCTTAGAACCAGCTAATGTTACCTCTCCTTTGGCTTCATGATTGCTTTTTTTCCTTCACGTGGTTTCTATTCTCAGGGCTTGTTTGGTTGTTGGCCAGCCCTTTGAGGGTCTCGTGCTGGCCACTCTTTCCTTTAAATTAACTAGTAATGGGCTCCGTTGTGGCATATCCACTTTTCCTTTCGGGGTCTACTGAGTCGGTTCGCTGTCTGTCCTCCCTAGAATTGTGCTTCACAGTCAAGTGAGTGTTACTCTTTCATTTGACAGATTAGAAAAGAGAAGTCCCGTGAAGCTGGGCAATTTGCCTGAGATATCTCAACAAGGTCAAGGCAGAACTGGGAGTGGGGGTGGGGTGGGGGCTCTGATCTAGGAGAGTTGCACAAACAATACTGCTGCTGCTGTGGTTCTGACAGACGGGTGCCTACAGATAGATGCTCAAACACATAGCACCAAACAATAGCTCTCTCCACAAAGAGAAATCCTGACCGGTGCTTGAGACCTCTGAACCGGAAGCATTGAAAGAAGGAAGAGCCCTAATGCCAGGCTTGGGGCGGGGGCAGGCGGAGTGGAGAGCGAGTGGACAGGGACTTGGGAGAGTCTCTGGCTCTATCATGTCCCAGCCAGCTTCTGTGGGAAGCCCTTTGGTTTCATGACACTGTTGTAGGCATTCTGAGGATTTTACATCACCCAAAGCTATAAATGGTTTTGCATGAGGGAAAAGAAGGCAAAAAAGGAAAGAAAAAAAAAGAATTACAGGTCTCCCACAGCCCACAAAAATATGCTCCACCTAAAAAGAAGGCCGTAATTTTGCTGCATCCAGCTGGGTTAAACAAAATTGGAGCCAAGGTTGTCCTGTATTGCCCCGAGAGGTGGCCCAGCATTAGCAGGAATGAGAGAAATGCAAAATTGCTCACACAATAGACTACATTTTCTTCACAGAGACGGCATAGCAATAACACAGCAAGACCTTGGCATCGGCCAGGTTGGGCCTCCTAGCTACATTAAAATCACTTCCAAGCTATTATTTATAATTTTATAGCATCTCACATTTGCAAATTGCCTAGTGATGAATTGAAGCAGCTTGTTGCAACAAGGCGAATGGGAGCTTGAGTATTTTAACCCCTTTTTATTCATACACCAAGAAATGGAGACAAACAGTATGCATCTATAGTCACCTGCATGGCCTATTTATTTTGGCTTCAGACAGAGATTTGTGCTGGGCCAACTTTAGGCTGACCAGATGTTCTTGTTTGCTTGGGATAGGGGTTTTGGGGGTAAAGCACTCTTAGTATTAAAGCTAGGACAGTACTGGGAAATAGAGAGATGGTCACACTATATACTTTATGTAGACCTAATCTTTGTCCCTATCTGTCTATCTGTCTGTCTGTCTGTCTGTCTGTCTGTCTACCTATCTATCTACATAGTTATAGATAGATTTTTTTTTCTGGAGACAAGGTCTCCAGTGCTATGTGCTATCATACCTGATTTTGGTGTGTGCAGTACTGGGGTTTGAACCTAAGGCTTCAGGCATGCTGAGCTACACCCCCTATTTTTTTAAACGTTTCTTTCTCTGTTTTATTTTGCTGTGTTTCAAAAAGCAGAACCTCAAACTGAATTTTTGTTGTCTTTAATATAAAAACACTGTAAGTGATATTAACTAGTTGACTGTTTATTGTTGTTCAATTTCAGGGAATTCATGTGCCTTCTTCTGACCTCTGAAATGTTTTTGATATTAGGTGTCAAAAAGGTAGCTTAAAGGAAAATGCAAGTAAGAGAATTTGATTTGATTTTTTTATATTAAGCAATCAACTTTGAAACCATTCTGTCTCCCAAGAATAACTTGGCCAAAGGTCACACTTTATATCTGGTTTATTCTCTTTGACAGAACATTTAAACGTATAAATTCAGATGGCCAGCAGGACAGATATAATGAAACAATTTACCTCTGGCTGAGGAATCCCTTGAGTCAAAATTGTTCCCAACTAGAATAACAGACTATTTCATCGCCAGCCAGGAGGATAAGAAAGGGGAACGCATGCCAACATTTTTATAGTGGGACGTCATAAATTGAATGGGGCTTTCATTATCCGTTACAGGCTTTAGAACCCAGAAGGGACTAAGTGAGGAAGTACAGGCACCAGCAGGGCCTGGCAGTATGAGACCTCAAGTGACAACTCCGTACGTGCTGCGGGTAACGGTGACAACTGTTGATTAGATATGATCGGCAGAACTGTTGTGCATTCCTTTGCCCTCTGGTGGGAGACAGCAAGACCTATTTTAAGAAAGTGAAGACAGCAACGGTGCAAAGAAATAGTCACACCGATACAGGACTGGATGGGAGGCTGGACAACTGCCCTAGATGCCAGTATCTAAAGAATACTTTCAAGACCAAGGAAGAAGCATGATGCTGGGCCAGTGCAACCCACATCCACACGTGGAAGCAGTGGAAGCGGAGCGCGGCCTTCCTCCAGTGAAGTACACTGTGTCTCAGAGCAAGCAAAAGCACAGCCTCCCAACAGCCACCTCCCACCAGCTCTAAGTCACTTCCAAAGGCACTGAGGTACCAACTTACTTGGAATTCCCTTATTCCTTCTTCTGTCTCAAAGTGTTTCAAATGCCAAGTACATGTTGTTCCCGAGTACCCTGTCTCTACCTCTGAGTAGGCAGTTCTTTTTAGTGAGACTGTTAATTTCTGAAGCATCTACACAGAAAGGGCTGGGATAAACACTGTGGGTCATGAGAGAGGTACTTAAGAGTTTGGACAGCCTATCCCAAGCCTAGAGGTAACTAGAGGTCATATTTTTCCTCTCCTGCAGTGTCCATCCCTGAGTGACATAAGCCTCCGTTGCCTGGGGAAGGGTGATATGAGTCCTTTTGTGATCCGTCAGAGCCAATCAGCATCCCTAGTCCAAGGCTCTTTGGGGCTTGGCACAGCTCAGGTCTTCAGCCCTCTCTCCTTTTTGTACTGGAGAGTTTATCTTTATAAGCTATTAAGAGAAATCATTTTATCTACATCACACTCAACACATAATGCCTCTGATACCAGAACATGGGACATTTTCCCTATACCAAACTCTTCCCCTGCTTCTCACCAGCAGTTATTGATTGGGTCATCTGCAGTTTCCCTCAATTCTGACACTGTCTACCTGATCAGCATTAGCTCCCCCAGTCTCAGTCACTGGACAGATGCCCTCCCCTACCCCAGGCTTCAGTCATCAGTTGGAAGTGTGGATTCCCCGTCACCCGCAACTTCTGTTTGACTTGGTTACAAGTCACAGGATCCCACAGTTCTCTTCTCAGATGGGATCACTTGCCATGATAGCTCATATAACTAAAAGGAAAAAAAAGTGTTTACTTGCTCAATCACTGTTTATTACCAAGGATAATAATTTATTTTATTTATCCCTTTATTGCTGTTTATTATCAAGAGGCAGAAATACAACCACCCGAAGAGATATCTAGAAGGGGCTGGTATGGGAGCCTCTGTCCTTGTAGAGTTTGGTTCTCTGCCTCTCTCAAGGCACATGGTTGTATTTTTGTTAGCCAGCCCAGTTCTTCAAACCCTATATTTTAGGCATTTCTATGGAGAAATTTCTGTAAAGCATGATTGATTGATTGTTATTAACTCAAGCTTCTGTGCCTCTCCTCTTCTTCCTGGAGGGAGGAGGTGGACTGGAAGTTCTAAATTTCTAATCATGGAGGGATTCTCTCTCTCTCTCTCTCTCTCTCTCTCTCTCTCTGTCTGTCTGTGTGTGTGTGTGTGTCTGTCTGTCTGTCTCTGTCTCAGTATGTGTGGATCCATCTATGTGAATATATATATACATATATATATATATACACTTACATACACATAGACATTTATGATAACAATGATAATGTCACAAAAGCACAAACTAGTGAGTGAAACTGATTGACAAACCATAGGAGGTTCCATTTTCTTATAACCCTGACTTCCTGGTTAGCATCAGACCCAGGCAGAGTCCCACAGGATGTAGTAGTTCTTCACTATAGAGCAGAGAAAGTGTGCATATACCTAAGAGCCAGGCCAAGGGCCATGGCTGCAGGGATCTGAACCAGCAAGAAGGACAACTGCTGCAGAGAAAACAAGTTCTGTTGAGTTGTACACTGCTAAATTTGACTGTGGCTGACCTGTTTGTGTCATTCGGAGTTAATGACAATGGCCAGAATGATGGTGCGCTTGGTAGGCTTGTGTGAACATGCTCCCCCAGGAAAAGAATGGGGTGATGTGATTGACAGCTTTACCAGGACCTGTGTGCATGAAGAGGGCTGAGACTTCAAAGGAAAGAGGGACCGTGTTATCAAAATATAAGGGGAACTGACATCTCTGGCTGAGGTAATGTTCTTCCGATGATCTCTCCATGGCTTCACAAACCCAGTGTTGTTGCAAGACTTTCATTTCTTGCACCCAGTACATAAAAGGACGGTGTACTGTCTCTTTCTCTGTGAAAAAAGATTATTTTATTGCAACCCACTTTCTATTAGGAATTGAACTAGCATATATATTTCATGTACATACATACACACATATATTTGGAATAGACTGCTTCCTACTCTTCTAGAAGACTCTTTGGGTCCCAGCACCCATATGAGGCAGCTCCCAACTTTGTGTAATTCCAGCTCCATGGAATCCAATACCTTCTGCTGGTCTTCATGGGCATGGTTATGTGCATACATACTCACACATAGACAGACACATATTCCACACAGAATACATGTTTGGTCATTATTTTAAAAATTCCTTAAATGTCCCATCAAAACATGGTTCTCTTACTTTCTCTTCCAACATATTTCAGAAATTCAGGGACCAAGGTGGAACATTCAGCTTAGTTGGTACAGTGCTTACCTAGTGTGCATTGAAGCCCTGGGTTTGAGCCACAGCATCACATAAACCAGCTTCCAACCCTAGCATTTTGGAGGTGGAGGCAAGAGGATCAGAAGTTTGAGGTCATCATCAGCTATTAAGCGAATTTGAAGCCAGGCTGGGATACATAAGACCCTGTTTCAAAACAGCAACAAAGAGAACAAAAGCAAAACTCAGAAATGGAGGTTGAAGTGGTACCTGAGGATGTTCTAGATTACTACGGGTGTTCCAGGAGAGAAACCTCTTGGAAGTTTTATGGATGAAAGTCCTCTTTCACTGCCACCATAGTCATCAGTGTTGCTGAGCATAGACTTGGCTGTCCTATCTGCTTACTCCTACTTGAACATTATGTTTAGAGACAGTGCTCAGCCACATTATAGAGTAGATAATGTACTAGTTTGTCTTTATCCTTCCATTTCTTGGGACCCTCTCCTGTCTCTGATTTTCCCCAACAAGAGAGAAAATAGTGTGGCTTTAGCTTTTTCTGCTTTATGGTGCTGATCCCTAAAATTGGAGTCACAGGAAGCTGTGAGATGCCATGTGGGTGCTAGGAACCAAATACGGATCCTCTGTGAGAGCAGTAAGTGCTCTTAAGTGCTGAGTCATCTCTCCAGACCCTAGACAGAATTTTATTAGGAGCCAAGACAGCCTGTTCCTAACCTACCACAGTCATAGTATGCTGATTCCTAGAAAGGATTAAGGGAGTCTTGTCATTTTAGGGCATGCAGACACTAGGGCAAAGGGAATCCTAATTTTCTCCTTACATATTTTCTGTTTCAAAAGGAAAATCTAGACAAGGACCAATTGTACTCCTCTGGAAAGAGGCTACACCATTCCTAGTGTCTTGGTCAGTGTTCCATTGCTGTGAAAATACACCATGAGCTCAACAACTCTTACATTGGGGCTTGCTTACAGTTTCAGAGGGTCAGTCCACTATCATCACAGTGGGGAGCATAGCAGCATGCAAGTAGACATGGTGCTGAAGAAGTAGAAGTAGCTGAGAGTTCTGTATCCAGATCTTCCAGCAGCAGAAAGAAAGAGACACTGGTGCTGGCTTGGGGCTTTGAAACCCCAGTGCCCACCCACAGTGACACACTTCCTCCAACAAGCCACGCCTACTCTAACAAAGCCACACCTCCTAATCCCTCTCAAGTAGTACCACTTCCTGATGACCAAGCATTCAAATATGTGAGCCTATGGAAGCCATTCTTATTCACACTACCACACCCAGGGATACCACAGGATACAAGGACCTGCACGGTACCTGAAAGCACTATATGTTTCCAATGCAAAGTTGTCCTGCTCCTTCCCTAGTCCTTGTCACATGCTAGTCTTCTCTTCTTACCCCTAGACTCCAGGGATCCAGAATTTAGTCTCACCAGAACTCATCCAGCCCAGGACATTTACCTCTACTCTAGGTTTCAGTCATCCTCATTGCATCCTTTGCTATCTTCTGAACAGTCTATCACAGCCTTGAATTTCCACTGTTGAGATCTTTTGGTCAGCAAAACCAACTTGCTCATGAAGGTCTCAGTAGAGACAGTAACAATAAACTGTCATATCCCTAGCGGGGCAGTGGTGGCACACACCTTTAATCCCAGCACTTGGAAGGCAGAGGCAGGCGGATCTCTGTGAGTTCAAGACCAGCCAGGTCTACAAGAGCAAGTTCCAGGGCAGCCTCCAAAGCCACAGAGAAACCCTGTCTTGAAAAACCAAAATAAATAAATAAATAAGTAAACTGCCATATCCCATCACCAATTTCCAGTAGTTAGGTTTCTGCCACGTTGATTTGACCTAGTACTTTTTTTTCTTCTGACTGTGTTGGAGTTTGAACCCAGGGCCTCATGTATGCTGAGCAAGCACTCTACCACTGAGCAATATGATCAAGGACTTGTGTGTCTTTTTTTATTTTTATTTGCTGAGCTACCTTAAAGCAAATCCCAGACATCACACTATTTCACCTCTGACACTCTCAAAATATTGACCTTTAAGAAAACGTAATGTTATATACCATTATCCCATATAACAAAATTAACAATTGTATTTTGGCATCATAGTCTACCCAGTCTGTAATTAAGTTTGCCTGATTGTCTCCAAAGTGTCCTTTTATAGTTGGTATGTCTGAATCGAAATCCAAACAAGCTCCCCACAATGTTTGGTTAGCATTTAAGATTTAATATTAATTTTCCCACCCTTGAGTAGTTTTGTTTTGGGGGAGAGAACTAAATAACATATTGTGGCAATTACTGATTAAGGTGCTCAGGATGTGTGTGGCGCTGTTTATTTGCTGAGATCTGAGCTAAGACCTAGTGTTGAATGTGTGTGGCAGAGGTGGAGGCAGGTGTTAAAGTTTTAGCGTCTGAAGGTACAAATGGTACTGAGCTTGTCCACAGGCCAGACATAAACATAATAATTACAGTTAGCATGTATTAGGGCATTATATTGTTTACCTGGATTTCGTATAGCTATGTCATTTTCAAAACATAGCTTCATTGGGAGGGTTTTATGGGGGTCTGCTGGGGAAGCAGAGGAAAGGTGCTGCTTGCTTTAGTTGTGGGCAAGTCACAGACTTTTATGAGCCTGAACTGTCTCCATCATTGCCAAATATGTTTTGGTCTTACAACCCTCAGGGTGGGCAAGGAGTCCTGGTGACTCTTTAGTCCTTTGTTCTGGACATGTCTGTGTCATTCTTCCTCCCTTCCCACTCTCTGTCTTAAGTCATATGTGTCTAGTTCCAAAATGTCACATTCGTGGTGGCAGGCTCCGTGATTCATCGCTAGTGGCAGCAGAAGGCTGCCTGGAGTTCAGGAGCCTGGAGGGACTTTCTCAAAGCTCTTATGAGTAAGCGGGGGTGTTAGTCACCACCTGTCATGGTTTCTGACTCCTGAAATGGGATCACAGGGTGTATTACAAGGCTTGGAGAGTCCTGTGTTGTTAAATACTGCTTCTTACACTTAAGATGCTGCAAGACCTGACCTTGAAATGATGAATAGACCCAACCTTAAACATATAGGTGGAAATCTCAGCTGGAGATATTGCATAAGGACACCAGGCAGAGGCATCATGGGAGATGGGCCTAAGCAAGGAAACTTCTGTGATTTGAGGTAAGTTTGGGTGAAGGGCTCACAGAGGACCCTAGCTATTGAGACACTGTAAAGAAAAAAAATCAGGAACAGACCAAGACTAATTCTGAAAAATGCTAGGCTGGTCCATGAAGCCAACACAGTGTGGAAGCCATCCGAGATCTGGTATCTTCTTCCTAAATTAGAACCCTGCATGTATTTTCCCAGAGTATATATGAGAAACAAGCTGGAAGAAGATCAGGAAAATTAGATATAACACTTGGGTGACACTCTCCATCATAGGTCAATTAAACACTTTCCTGTTGGGCCCTGTTGAAGATCAGAGACCTGACCTCATGGCTGGTCTGCATCCACGTTAAAGACATGCTCTCCGAAGAAAGGCCTTCCCAAGGACCTGCCTTTCTGAAGCCTTCTCCAGTCATCCTCTGCAAACTCTGCACAGAACTGAGCACTGCAGGACAGACAAATGGGTGAAGGTGAAAGAAGAGCTGTTTGCTGTCTATAGTTTCTAAGCATCTTGAATAACTGAAGGGTTAAACGAGGAGTCATCACCCAAACAAAGTATTTGGGCTCCAGCTTTCACAATTTAATGTAGCTCTAGTTGTTCTAGCCCTTTAAATGTGGAGATTTGTTGGGCTGGGAGCATGGCTCAGTGGTAGATGCCAGCATGTGCAATGATGCCCTTGGTTCAATCCCATGCACAATAAGAAAAGATAATCAGAAATGTCATTATCTTTTTTATTCCTGCTTGAGGGGAACAAATCTATATAGATATTCACAGCCAAAATAAATACAAATTTAAATCCTATGGACTTGCACTCCTAATGACCTCGTTCAGTGGTAAGAATGTTTAATGATAGTTTAGCTTATGGAAGCCCCAGCGACCAGGTTCCAAGCAGTCTCAACTGGGAAACCCAAGTCTTTTTCTTTTGGAAATTCTCAATGATAGGTTTTCAAAGTAGCTGATAAAACAGTTAATTATAGTGAGGTGTTTGGCTCCTCCGCCATAACATACACTTTCCCTACTCTATGATTGGAGCCTCTTGTCACGTTCCCTAAGCTGGGTTAGCCCGTGTTACCATCTAGTTTTCCTCCCCTTGGGTGAGAGCCTAAATTACACCATAGGTGGAACTTCAGTTCCAAACACAAAACGTAGCACAAGAACCTCCAGTTGAGCCTCTCCAGACCTCACCTCCTCGGCTACTTGCCCTCCCTCTGGCTCATTTCACTCCAGACAAGCCTGGTCTAAGCTTGACACAGGTCAACGAGACTCTCACTTTGCTTCATAGGCTCTTCAATTGAGGGAACACTGAGGTGCACTGAGAAGGCACTGCTGGGCCCATCAGAATAATAAATGCGTGTTTCTGGGGGCATTAATGCTGCAGATAAGAGTGGGGAATGGAGGCTCTCCACCTGTTTATTCTGCCTAATGGTCATCTCTGTGTGTCTGCTTACCTCACTCCTACACCTTCTGCAAGCCTCCACACAGATGTCGCCTTCTCAACATAACCCCATCTGGCCCCTCTAGTCTATATTTGCTACCTACAATCATGCCCCTGCCACTACAGATCACCCTACATACTCTGCTGTTTTCCCCTGGGCACTGGACACCTTATAACCTCCTGTGTAATTTGTTCATTTACTGCATAAATTTGTTCATTTGTTGTATTGACCAGCAGTTTCATCACCTAGAAACAGGTTTCTCAATCTTTTAACTTACACACTTGCTACATCCCTGGAACACTGCCTGATACGTAAGAGGCTCAGTGGATATTTGCTGCACTCAAGAGTCAATGCTTGCCAGGTGTGGTTTGTGGGGACACCAGACCTTGAGCAGAAACCCACTTCCCCTTTGGCCTGGGAGCAGGCAGCTGTGAGATAATGTTTACTGAAAACATGTTTACTGAAAACAATTCAGTGCCATAAAGCTCTTGTTAGGGCTCCGATAAGGGCTAGCTCACTGAAACACCATGACTTTGATCCCCCCCTACGGCTAGATGTTCCTTCCTGCTCCCTGCTGTTTCTCCTGGATTCTGGGGCCGGAGATTAAACCACCAGCCAGGAGGGTGAGAAGTCTGTGAGAGCTGTGAGAGGTGTGTGAGAGCTTGGTTGGAGAATTGTATGTAGATGGATGGCAGAAGTCTTTAAAAAGGGAAGCGTTTTTTCTTGGGGAGTTCTCCTAAACCGACTTGGGGAGCATAAAGTTTTCTTAACGCAACCGACCAGTCTCTGTGTCATCTATCCCGACCACCTCGCTACATTCTCGGATGCAGGCTGCACAGGCAGGTGCGACAGTGGTTGGCACATGCCTTTAATCTCAGCATCCAGGAGGCAGAGGCAAGCGGATCTCTAAGTCCAAGATGGCCTGGGCTATAGAGCAAATTCCTGGACAACCAGGGTTACACAAAGAAACCCGATCTCAAAAAAAACAAAAACAACCAAACAAAATGAATCAACACTTAATGCTCCTGTAAATTATAAAGGTGAGAATTCTCATTTCTTCCTGGGCTTTAGAAGAGTTGTGTTGTTGATACTGATTTTGCTGAATGTGGTGGTTCATGCCAGTAATACCAGCACTTCGGAAGCTGAGGCAGGAGGATTTTCATGAGTTCCAGGACAGCTTGAGATTTTTTTCTTATCTGTTTCTATTTTCATGCTTATTTCCTCTGCATAAAATGTTTCCCCTAGTGCTGGAATCATGGCTCAACAGTTAAGAGCACTGGTTGCTCTTGCAAAGGACCTGGGCTCAGTTCCCAGCACCCACATGGGGGTTCACAACCATCCTTAACTCCAGTTTCAAAGGATCCAGCATCCTATTCTGGCCTCACAGGAGTGCACACATGCAGTGCACATAATGCATGCATTCATACACACACACACACACACACACAAGCACACACGCACACATGCACACAAGACACACATAAGATTAAAAATAGACAAATTTTATTTAAAAATTTCTTCCTATTTTTTCTTCTTCAATTGATGCTTCATCTGTCTACTACAGCTTGATGCTTTCTAATTGTCCTCACAAACTTCCTGGGAGTTATTTTGGTGTCCCTGGTAATAAAGTCTCTGAGCAGAAACCTTATTTTGGATATACAGACAAATAGAACGAGAATAAGTGTTTGCAGGATGATGGGAAATTCTTTTCAAGCTACAACATGATGTTTCTTAAGACAATAGCTATTATGTTCACATTTATAGAAAAATGGCAATTTGCAAAGTCCTTTCATGCATAGGTCTTTTAATCCTCGTAAGAATTCTTCAAGCTAGGTAGCAAAGGTATTATTATGTTCATTTTACATCTGGGAAAAGAGAATTAGGTTAAATTTAGATAACAGTACTTGCTTCATCAAGATTAAATGATACAGTTTCTGGAAGTTTCTGGCACAAAGGTGGAACTTGAGATATGTTAGTTCTCCTTCACTTTAGAGAAGGTGCTGAGATAAATTAGCATTTGTGTTCTTATAGTGTGCCAGGGTCTTAACAAGTTTTGAGCTCTGTGTCTCTAAATCACAAGCTATTGACCAGTAGTATGCTGTTTATTCTCATTTACTGATGGGGTAACAGATTCAGAAAAGTTAAGTAACTTGCACAAAGTCACACAACTAGCAAGTGAAATCAAGATTTGAACTCAGCTCCATAATAATCATTAATTCCCCCAATTACTTAAGATTGCAATGTCTCTTTGGTAGTATTAGTCACCCTTCTGTTACTGTTACTGACTGAAAAATGAGGGAATGTTTATTTTGGGTCAAGGTGTCAAGGTCTCAGCCCATGGTCACTTGGCACAGTTGCCTGTGACAATGTAGTACATCATGGGAAATGTGCACTGAGGGAAGTGCACTGAAATGTGCATTGAGGGCGTGACCCCAATGACGTAATGTCATTCCACTAGACCCCACCTTCTAAATGTTTTAGCAAAACTCAATAGAGCCATGAGCTGGGAACCAAGCTCTCAACATATGGATCTTTAGGGACTTCAAGAGCCACACTGTAGCAGTTGTCTTAAAACACATTTTCTGATCCAGAATCCACAGCTTTTCTGCATATATCAACTACTCAATGTTATTTAAAAACTATTAGCATTAATTCTTAATTCAGCTAGAGCACTGACTCAATAACAATTGCTTGAAATCTTAAAAATCATAAAAATTAGCACCGAAATCATAAAAATTAGGGACATGTGAAAACAATTTTGTTTTGCATATAAGAAAAATGAAGTTCAAAGACTTGTTAGGCTAGGGAGAGTGGGAAAGTGAGGTGTGCTCTGGTCTCTCCATGCTCCTGGATCTTGCAGGGTGCTCCTTGAAGGCTTGTGAGTCAAGCTGGATAGACACCTGGACTGTGTCTGCATGGAAAACTGTTGGGCAATGCTGATGGTGGGGCTAACTACTGAAGCACCATTTAGTAGCCTTGCTTTGACTCCTTTAGTTACTGTTCCCATCTTTAGCCATAAACACTGCACTATGGTGAAGAAGCCTGGATCTGTATCACAGTCCAAAATTCACGTACTGAGAACTGATTGCCAGAAATAGCCTAGTATTCACTGGAGTCCCATCCAACCAGAAAACCAAGCTCAGAGGGTTGGGTCCTGCAAGGGCAGACAGAGCATCAGCAGAGAACTTGGCAGGATCCTTCCAGCAGCAAAAGCTTCATGTGCTAGTGGCATGGACGGAATGTGTGAGCCTGCAGTCTCCTAGGAATGCCTGGGACTCTTCAAGAATTCCATGGAGGAATTGTTCCTGCCAATAACCAACCAGTAGTAGATGGAAACCTGGAATCCACAACCACATGCGAGAATAGTCCTGTTGTTATTTTATACAGCACCATCTGTGCTTGAGTCTTTTATTTGGCTTTGACTTTTATAAAGCCACTGGGATATATGATGGGGATATCTTCTGTACATATGTTTCTCTTATTGGTTAATGAATAAAACAGTGATTGGCTGATTGGTCAGACAGGAGGTGACATAGCTGGGCAGAATTAGGATATAAGCAGGGACAAACAGGAAATCGTTCTCTTCTCTATGGAGAAGCTAAACAGTCATCATGTAGTAGGCAACGGAGTTACAGGTCTGACATTCCCTGGTTAGCCAAGACCACATGGAAATACATGGATTAATAGTAATGGGTAAATAATTAAGACAGAGCTAACCAATAAGAAACCCTAGCCTCAGCCAACAGTTTCATAATTAACGTAAGTCTTTGTGTGGTTATTTGGTGCTCAAGAGCGGCAGAACCCATCCAGGAAAGAAAACTCATGCTTACAGTGGTGCAAGTCTCCCAGATGAGAACAGAGCAAACTTAATTCACCCAGAGTCTGAGCTGGGGCTTGTCACCTGCCTGAACCTTTTTTAGGAAGCCAGAAAGTTCCTGGAACTCTTTTCTGACTCATTGAGAATAATCTTGGGGAATTTAAAAGCAGTGCCCCTTAAGGCTACCTTAAATGCCCTCCCCTGATAATGAGATTGATGACTACCTTATACGCCACCCTAGAACTCTCATCCAGTAGCTAACGGAAGCAGAGGCAGACACCCACAGCTAAAAACAGAACTGAACTCCTGGAACCCAGTTGCAAAGAGTAGTGATGAGCAAAGGAATGAAGACCGGGCTAGTGAAACCCACAGAGGCAGCTGACATGACAAGGGGGAGCTCATGGACCCCAGACTGATGACTGAGAGACCAGCATGGGACTGATCCAGACACCCCTGAACCTGGGTGTCAGAGAGGAGGCCTTGGCAATCTATGGGACCTCAGATAGTAGATCAGTATTTATCCCTGACATACAAATGGACTTTGGGAG